TTTTAATGAGTGCTACGGTCTCTGAGCATATGAGACACACTGGTTCTGTGCTCCCAGTGGGCAGGATGAACATGGATGAGTATGTCCATTCTGGGTTAAAGCTCTGTTTTCACTGTCCACTTCTCTTTTCTTAAAGAGTGCCGGGTGAAGTTATTATGCTCTCCCTGTGTGCTGCTAACTTGGTCTACGTCTTCACTCCCTGTCTGTCGCTGACTCAGGGTTAGTGTTGTCACGATACCAACATGTTGGTTGCGATTCCGATTATTTTTCGATACTTTTCTTAAAAAAAGAGAAACAGTCTTAAATGTAATTATTGTGCTTTATTTCACACCAGAACCATAACCATAACACAAACTTTTAAACAATGAGAACAATAAATAAAATAAATGACAAGAATTCGTATTAAATAAAATTAAAACATGTCTTACAGACAGGCCTCGTGGTGTCCGTAGGCTTGCCCTCACTGTCAGAGATATAGCTCAAATACTTCCAAATTTCGCTTCTGGCATCTTTTTTGTCAACAAGCCGAGGCGCAGCGGCAGTTGCACTCCCACTTGCAGCCATGCTTCTCGTTTTCTCACATGCTCTGGCAGCTAGCGCGTGCACGAGAGAGGGGAGGGACTTAGAGCATGCTTGAGAGGGGAGGGACTGCAGGCAGGGAGTGGAAGCAGAGCGCTGAACACACACGGCTCTTATTAAAACAGCGCTTTCTCACCGGAGTACTTTCCCCCGTCATTCTTAAAGTACCGATACTAATGAAACTGAGGAATCGTAACGTTTTTAACGGCAGGGTATCGCGGTACCTTTCAAGTAGCGGTACACCGTGCAACACTACTCGGGGTCGATCTCAAGTCTTTTATTTGTCATTTCCTCGATCCCCGCTCTTACCGGAAGTTGTTTTTTGTGCGCTATCTTAAAGGTCTCATATTATCAGGGGTGCACATAACTGGTACGCAGGTACGCATGCGTGGCAAAAATATGAAATGCGTAACGTCACTTTTGTCACTGCGCGCCTTTGCGTACCTGATAGGTCCTCAAAACAAAACACATATTTCGTCTATACGTGTTTCGTGTCAACACTCAATGCAGTAAACTACTAGACATGTCCAAAAAAACAAAACTATGGCGTTTTGCTCCCTGCTAAAAATCTCCGGACTTTATTGGACTGATTGAACTGAGCCAAGCCGCGCAGGCCATAACCGACGGACCTGTGAAGCTTTTAGAGGAGGCAGAGGCTTAGATCACCGGATAACAGAGTTGTTCACCGTGTGCACAGACGGGGTTGTTGTTAACGTTGGTATGTATGAACAACATAATTGTACTAAAACTACGTCAACTGGCTGCGGAGGGAGACTCCCCTGTGCACATACTGTGCCCCGCGCACACACTGGAGAACTGCGCAAAATCAGCTGATCGCAAAGTTCATGTGCTGTGGTCCAGCTGCCACATACACAGGTGCAAACCTACTCAGGGTGTTAATGGAAGAGTTTGAAATCAGACAGAGGTGGGAGAAGTACTCAGCTCTTGTGTAGGAATTCATAATGTTACTCAAGTAAAAGTAGAAAAGTATTCTCATCAAAATATAGTTAAAGTACCAAAAGTAAAAGTAGTCATTGTGCAGATTGGTCCATTTCAGAATAATATATATGATATGTTTTATAATGATTGATCATGAAAGTGTTCTCAAAGCTGGTAAAGGTGCAGCTAGTTTGAATGACTTTGTATACTGCAGGGTAGCTGGTGGATTTACTCCAGGTGGAACTAAAGTCTGATTCAACACTTGGTTATATTTCACATCATTCATCCAGATCTATAAAGTAACTAAAGGTATTACATAAATGTAGTAGAGTAAAAGTACACCATTTACCTCTGAACTGTAGTGGAGTAGAAGTACAAAGTAGCATAACATATAAATACTCAAGTGAAGTACAAGAATCTCAAAATAGTACCTAAGTACAGTACTTGAATAACTGTACTTAGTTACTTCCCACATCTGAAATCAGATATGACTTTAAGTCATGTGATAATTTCTTATTATTTGATCCTTCAACTTGGCCTCAGCAAATGCAAGGACTTCACAGTTTTGGCAACAAGTTTTGGAGAAAGCAAATGGGAGGGTTAAACAGGGACAGGGAGGTGCATCTGCAGCATCTTCATAATCCACCATGCAAGAAGAGGAACTAGAGGACAGTGAAGGAGACACTGAGAAGGACAGTGAGGAAGACTGCACTTATTAACACCACGCTTTGTGTGGGGTGAGTACCAAACGCTGTCTCCTGGTACTAATCTGTGTAATTCACAAAAAAAGTGATGTACACCCCTGCCTATTATGCTATTTGTAGGCATATTATGGGTCTCAGATATATAAAAAAACATGTATATGATGTGTTTTGCTCAAAATACCAAACGTATCATGTATTTTAGGCATCCCTCATATCCCTCTATTTTAGGCCTGTTAGAGAACTGCAGGTTCGGGGTCCTTAGTTAAAAAAAGAGGAGGGGGAGCTAATGCCTGCTCAGAGTTCTACCAGAGATTAAGCTAAATGCTGCTGTGATTAAATGCCATATCATATCATGTTCCAAACCACATCATGGATTATTTCTGAAACAGTATGGAGCTCAAATGCTTTTTCTCTTGAGGGTTTACTACAAGGTGAGTTCCTTTTTTTTATTTCCTGCCTTTTTACACATACTCTCTCCAGTACAGCTTAGCTCTGAGCGTTAGCGATGCTAGCTAATGTAAACAAAGACCATATTACGTCCAAAACACATCGGGAATTGTTTCTTATAGTAACTTTCTGATAGTGCCGTGGGTCCACATTTCCGATATTGTGTCATATCGGAAGCAAATCTGGATCAGCTCCGTTTTTAGAGATTTTGGCACGGAGGAAAAGAGAGGGTGTTGTTTTCTGACACACCACTCAGTTTAAAAGTGTATGAGTGTGAGAATAAAACGGGGACAGAGCAGGCATGGTGTCAGACGATCAGCTGTGCCGGCGTCATCACAAACGGACGTCGCGCGACGATCCGAGGAAAGTACGTCCCATTGTTCTTAAAACACATTTCCTTGCTTCCTCTCCCTTGTTGTGAGCTGCGTCTCACCTCTCTTAACTTCCATCCCTGCATCCCTCACTTTCGGTATTTACCGTCTCCATGCATACCTGGTGGGAGGGGCTAAGACGCAAGGAAAACACGAGAAGGGAGAGGAAGCAAGGAATTGATTTTTAAGACGTCCTTTCCTCGGAGCGTCATGTTAAGCGACGTCCGTTTGTGATGACGCGGCACAGCTGATCGTCTGACAGCAGCCAACTCTGCCCCCCCCTCCTCCACCGCCTGTAAATAAAATAAGAACTAATTTTCCAAAAAATAAGCCATTCTTAAAATGTATAAAAAAACAATAGTTTAATATTTCTTTGAGTGCACAATAGAAAAAAAGTGAGAGAAGAGAAAGCGTAACAGAAATATTGTGGGTTACATATAGTAACAGTATGGTTGTAGGCATACAAATAACATTAAGTAACTGAGGGAAATCACATCATTCTTGTCTCAGCTTTGACTGAATGGAAATGAAAGTAAATACACATTTTAAATGAAAAAAAGCTGTTCTTGCTGACAGACATTACATCTGTTTCTTTGTAATTTTTTTGTGTTCATAATAAAAATGAATTGGCGATCATGACATTTTTTTCCAATAAATGAATTAAATGGTTTTTGTCCACTTTGTTGTTCAGATATATCACATATTTTTAACTAGATGATACGTTAATTGAAACAAAGCACTGTATAGAACTGAGGAGTGATTCCCCTGAGTTTAATGTGTTAGCTTCACTCTGCTGTTAAACTGCTCTGCTGTTAAGCCTCAGATCAGTGGATGTGCTGCATTATCCAATCAGTTATCAATACACAGTAAGGGGGCGGGGCAAGTGGCTGAGGATTTCACTGAAGGATGGTCCGGTGGTTCCTCTGTTATCGCTCCTTGCTCCTCGATCCTCGGTCCTCCGGCACAAATAAGCGCCATGGGACTATAGCCTATAACCCTATAGCGCCTTAAGTTGGCACACAAAAATTAACTTCCGGTGAGAGCAACGACCGAGGAGCAATTACAAATAAGAGACTTGAGATAGACCCTTAAGCGATTGGGACGTCTTTCAAAATGCTGTGTTCCGAGTCAAGTCATGGAGGAGAGAGGAGTTAAGCAGGGAGATTGGGATGTTACGTTAGGTCACTATACCCAAATACGTCACTATACCAAGAAGAAAACAATGGAAAAAGAGAAATGTCCAACGTTCTGGGGCAGCATAAACAGGTATTTTCTGTGTTAGAGTTTTACTCGCGACAGCGTGTACTTTGAGGGTTTGTGACTCTGCAGACCGTTTACATGCAGAAAAAGCTATATAACACACAAGGGGATGGGTAATAACCAGAAAAGCATGACATGGGACCTTTAAATACTGTACAACCTCATCTATACAATCATTTCTGTAATTATTATTTGATTACACAATTATTGGGATTTTGTTTGCCTTTAATCCAAAGGTGGTGCTGCTAGATTTGACTTAATGAAGATTAAGTCATGCTTAAAAATACTAATAGTAAAATATAATAATTTTGAATTACTTTGGATGTTGATGAATAGTCCTTCTGATCTTCCTGTTCTTTTTTAAGCTGATGCAACTACTACAATGTATTGCCAGCTATTATAAACCACTTTTTATGATTTGATGAATACTTATAATTGTACTAATAATAATAATCATAGTTAATATATGGTAATAACCAGACTTCCTCATACCATAACCACGTCATTATTTTAAGCAGCATAACAATTAAACAGAGAAATAAAGGTAATTTCATTATACTTAAAGCCTAAATATTTAGTCTTAATTTATAGTTTTTAAACGTTTATTTGTTTTTCTGATAAATAATGTGAAAAAGTTACACAAAAAGGTGTGTGTGTGTGTGTGTGTGTGTGTATGTGTGTGTGTGAGAGACTGACCGACCTGTGTGTGTTCGCATATGCCTCTTGAGGTCGAAAGTATCATTGAATCCTTTTCCACAGAATCTACATGGATGTCTCTTCACCAGGCTGTGGCACTTCAGGTGACGGGTCAACATGCGCTGCAGGGGGAATATCTTGTGGCACACTGAACACATAAAATCTCCTGAGCCAGGGGAAGCACGGGGACGGGGCTGGTGGACAGAGAAAAAACTATTTATAATATAAACAGTTATCAATTCACAGTATGTCCAATGTTTTTCTGCCATTTTTTTCAGTTACTGCACTCAAATGTTTAAATAACAAGAGGGGAGCACATCTAGGTGACCTTAGGATCCAAGTGGGCTGAAGGTGGAAGCTCATTCTGAGCCTCTCTGCTACCCATCATGATTCTTCTGAGCACTCCAACTCTATTCTCTTATACTGACCTTTAAGCTGCCCTTCAAATCCCACAATCACCAAAGCATAGAGCAGATACTTGACGGCTAAATACAGCTTTAAACTGTATGTGTAATGTATCAGCATAAGCTTGACTAAGATGGATTCAGTTGTCAAGTATTTAACATGGCTTATCTAACTCAAACTATAAAGTCCACTAAAGAGTTTCTTTATTTCACACAATTTACACCTTTCCAATGATCCATTGGAGCTTTATAGTGACCTTGAATACTATCCTGAATACAACCAAGTAAAGAGGAGATAATCCACACCACGACCCAGCCTCATGCCTACATCGTACCTGCTTGGTCTAACCTTTAGTGGCTGGCCCAACTAGCTTGATAGGTAACCACTATCACTCTATATTTGAATTTGCACATGAATGTAAGAAATCAGACCAGTCGACAAGGTAATCAGGTGTGCATCGTTTCAATAACTAGTGTTTTGGTGAATCTTCAGAAATCAAAATACATCTGGAGCATTTCTATTCAGCCATTTCTTGCTGGTGCAGGAGCGTGGGAATGTCAAGGCGGTAGCAGTCTGCAGGCTGGAAATCAGGGGTGTCAAAAAAAAAGTTTGGATCCAGCTTGGTAAAAAATGTATGAAAGAGAGCTTAACATGAGCTTCCTGGCATGTCAGTTTCAGAGCTGTTGCCTGTAGGGGGAGCTCTCTTCCACTTCCCATACCAAAGGATCAGGGAACAGGACAGGTTAAATAGTTCCTCTCAAAAAAGTTCTCCTGAGTCTATTCAGAAACAACAAGGACAACATGCATTTCAAAATACGAAGAGAAACATATACCCCTTTTCCACTGAAATAAGTCCCGTTCTTGTGGGTCCCAAGTTTTCACCAATCAAAACCCTGTATGAGCCACATCATCACGTCACCGCACGTTGCTACATTTCTCAGCAACAACATCCTAAATGACAACAATGGCAGACTGCGGCGGAGCTGATCTCGAGTTGCTCTTATGAAGCCAGGTTGAATTGAATTGGGTGTCCATTAAAAGTATGGCAGAAACATTTATATTTTGTCATACATATGCCTGGCTAATGCCTGGTTGCCTGACATAAATATATGTGCGTGGTCTCAACTCTACTGATTCTATAATGATTTGTAAGTAGTAAGAACTGTTATTGCTCAGGTAATTTCGTATTTGACTCTGTCGTGACCCTCTTATGTAAGCGGTTCTCGGTTTCAGCCCAGCAGATTGCTGGTTCCAAATGTGAGCCACTTTTCAGAAACCGAAAGCCAGACCGCTGCAGTGGAAACACCAAAAACCGGTTCTGGAACAGTTTTGGTGGAAAAGGAGTAACAGATACGGATAAGGATGGCCCCTCTTGATTTTCTGCTCAATCTTACCACTATCCTGTCAATCAGTTCTACCTTTTCCAACCTCCTAGGTAGCATGGACGTCATATAATGTAAACTAGCTGGACTTCACACTCCCAATCAGAATTAAATAATACAGAGGTCTTTTTTAACACAAGTTCACCTTCTGCGCACAAAACCCTCCCTGGCGCCGAACAAACCGGCAGCTCCGACAACTCTCCATATATCAGCAAAATGCATGTGTTTGTATATGTATTCAGACCTAATGTGTCCTGTTGGTCCTGTGCTGTGCATGTGTGTATTACAGCTGACTGAACACCTGAATTTCCCCTTGGGGATAAATTAGAAGTTCATCTTCTTATGGATTGCTTGTTGTGATTTATGTTCGGTAGTTTATCTTACTAGAATCTGTAAATGGTACCATAACATATCATACTAAATAAACTGCTGCCACCATGGATTTCCTCTACAAGTTTGCCACTCCAGTCAATTTCCTTTCGTCAGTCCTGATTGTGTCGTTCCAGGCTGTCAGCTTACAGCAGTCACACAGCACACAGCAGTCATTAACTAAGTTATCCATGGCAGTACACAGTTAAAAGTGCCAAAATTAGGGTCACCCTTCTTATATAAAAGACCAGTAAAGCTTGTTGTGTAATGTGAGTGAGACTTTACTTGAGAATACAATTCTGACCTTACCTTTGCTCTGCTGACCAGTGTCAGCGTACTGGGATGGTAGAAGGAGCCTTGTAGCATAAGTGTGGACAAATCATGCCTGCTGTCAGCCCCTGGTGCTCCTGATCCTGCTAAAGGTACTGACTCTCTCATTTCAGCTGCTGTCCCATATCCCGTGGGGGCTACTGACTGATGCACAGCTGCATGCTGTTGGGTGTCAGGACTGCACAATATCGGCTCCATAACAATTGTACTCACTTTAAAAAGGGATACAAACATTTTTTAGCAATACAAGTACATCAACAAGGTCAAAGGAATAACTTCAGAAAAATGAATATATATATATATATATATATATATATATATACAGTACATGTCACTGCTTAGAGCACAAACTATATTTTACGGTACTTTGAATTCTTACCTACTGTATTCTCTTGTTTCCACTCAAGCTGTTCTGGCTCTTTCCATTGCCAGGCTCCAAATGCCCCGCGTTTCTTTTTAACAAGGAAAGACCTCGGCATCCTTGGAATTCTCTTTCTTCACCCTTATCTTAGTCCTATTTCTCTTTTACTTCTGATGATCTGTTTCTTTAATCGAGATTCAGCCTCTGATTCTTTCATCAGCACTGCTTGTAGATGTATGGACCAACCTCCACTTATCTCCAGTCCTTACATTCAAACTTTATCAATTGAAATCCTGCAGGTACATAATCCCAGCAAAATCACAGTACTCATTTCCATAACATCGTATCAGACGAGTGGTGAAGGTTAGGAGCACTGTTGAGTGGGGGAGGGAGGTAGCAGGCTTTTTGTTTTGACTGGAATACACCTGTGTTGACTGTGAGCATGCGCCACTTTAACTTGTCCCCCACTGGTTTTGCATGTCAGGCAGTGAGAATCTGGGGCGCTTCGCATTCAAGTGGCCCTTGCAATGCAAATTCCTGACCTGGACCAAGCCCTGGTCCCAGACAAAGGGCACGGTCTGAGTAACAGGAACAAGTACAGAGGAGCCACAGCTTTAACTGCTAGTTAAATAAGCCCTTTCTCTCCCTTTTTTTAAGCTCCAGTTGCAATTGTTTGGTGGGATTACAGAGTTTCTCAATGCACACAAAGGCCATTCAAACACATATTCACTAACTTGCCGACCGTTGACTGTGTTCATAACATGATTGAACATTCATGATGGTACTCTGGGGGTAAGCAGCAGCCCCTGCTATAAAAGAATAATAAAACATAAAAAAAACTGTCATATCTCAGGCTTGTTTAGCAACATGTTACTTAAGAAATAGTAAACTGCACAACATGTTCTAATTATGACTAAATGAACAGCGTCATCTAATTTCACTGGACTCTGCATGGCAAATACAAATTCAGCTCGAGACTAAACCCCATCATGCAAATAACAATAGAGGACACTCCAAGAAGATCAGGAGGATCATATGGTATAAACTATACATATAAGGTGTGAAAAGCTGTCACTGCAACTAAATTAATTATAAAGGCCCAGCCATGAAATGTTAATATGTGTCAAAACATATTAAATGATAACACATATTTGCTTAAAACTAATTAATGTTTAAAAAACTATAAAAGTACTTTTCTAATCCAGACAAGCCTTATTTTTCCAACAACTTTGTTTACAATGTTACATGAACCAATTCAATTACAATTTGAGATTATTTCATTAAATCTTTTTTTATTATAAGTATTACCTTCCACCACATTCAAAACAATATTTACTAATCATTTATATGATTTTATTCTACTGAATGCACCTTTCACATACTTTGACGAGCTTACCACAACTCCTTACAAATGTTATTACAAAATATACATTTTTAAGAAAGAAAACATGTTTTTATTAATAACACAAGGGAAATTGTATTTTTTTCCTCAGTTGTTATTATTTTTGAGCACTCAAATCTGGAAAGGGTGTCTCTCATCTTCTGCAACATGAGATCACTGGCTAATAAAAGGAACACGCTAACGGTGTTAGCAAAGACTTAGCAGGAAAACCTGGAGGGTAGTTCAATGTGCTCTACGGAAACATAACTCCACCAGGACATACCTGACGACAACATTTCCATCAAACTGGGGACTGTTTGGGCTGAAAGAGCTTCATCATGAGCCTGAGTCTTCATTATGAGCCTGAGTCTTCATCGTGTCTCCATCATGTCTTCACCATGAGTCTGAGTCTTCATCGTGTCTTCATCATAAGCCTGAGTCTTCATAGTGTCTTCACCATGAGCCTTCATCATGATTCTGAGTCTTCATCATGTCTTCACCATGAGCATGAATCTTCACCATGAGCCTGAGTCTTCATCATGTCTTCACCATGAGCATGAATCTTCACCATGAGCCTGAGTCTTCATCATGTCTTCACCATGAGCGTGAATCTTCATCATAAGCCTGAGTCTTCATAGTGTCTTCACCATGAGCCTGAGTCTTCCTCATGTCTTCACCATGAACCTGAGTCTTCCTCATGTCTTCACCATGAGCCTGAGTCTTCCTCATGTCTTCACCATGAGCCTGAGTCTTCCTCATGTCTTCACCATGAGCCTGAGTCTTCCTCATGTCTTCACCATTAGCCTGAGTCTTCCTCATGTCTTCATCATGAGCCTGAGTCTTCCTCATGTCTTCACCATGAGCCTGAGTCTTCCTCATGTCTTCACCATGAGCCTGAGTCTTCCTCATGTCTTCACCATGAGCCTGAGTCTTCCTCATGTCTTCACCATGAGCCTGAGTCTTCCTCATGTCTTCACCATGAGCCTGAGTCTTCCTCATGTCTTCATCATGAGCCTGAGTCTTCCTCATGTCTTCACCATGAGCCTGAGTCTTCCTCATGTCTTCACCATGAGCCTGAGTCTTTGTCAAGTTGTGATTTGGTTTGTTTGATTGACTCCTGCCTAAACTTGAAAATGGCTTGATTCACTCCAGAAGGACAACTCAAATTTGAATCTTTCCTCTTTATTTGAGTTTATTGCAGATTCCTTTTTGCTTCATTCAGGCTCCTGATGCATCATTTAGGTTGAAAACCTTTAACACAAAACATACTTTCATTCACTTTAGGTAAATAAACATTTCAATGAAAACATGCTATCCTTTAACAAGCACTTTCATTTCTACTCCATAATCAAGTTACAATTAAACTTAACATTTAGTCAAAAGTAAATGCATCTCAACAAAGTCAATTATATTCCAGCATCCTATATTTTAGCTTCTTACCTCATAAGACTAGAAACAATCATTCCTCTAATCAAACATGGTTCAAACAGATTAATACATTTACAAAAATATCACCAGCAGCGTCTTGGTCGAATCTTTGAGTCTCTTCTCCTCTCTCACAGCGAATTGTTTGTCCTCTGCTGCGAGTGTGCATTCACAGGTGCGTTGCATTAAGCTCATTAAATAGGAGACTCACACTCTTCCTTTGAGCCACATTCTCAGTGGAATCACAGACCCTAGGCTCCCTGGATTGGTACTACAACTTTGTCCTCATTGAAGTATTGGATCCTTCCTCCACATACTAAGAGTCCCGACTCTTCCTCCTTATACACAACCAACCTGCTGAGAGTAATGTCTTTAAATGTTACTCCTTCCTGGGCTGAAAGGAAAATATGTCTGAGTGCATCTTCACATTCTCCAACAGAGAGCACAGTTTTCTTAGTTCTCAACTCTCTCTCTTCTTTTGAAGGAATTACCTCCCACTTTGACCCGTGGGAAGTTGGGTTCATCGTCCTCCTCTTCCACTCATTAGCAGCTCTCAGCACCCAGGCAACAACTCGGATCACTTTATCCAAGCTGCTGAATTTCCTCACATCAATCAGTTGCCCTATAACTGAGCCAGCTGGTATTCTTAGGGTTTGAGTCTCTTTCTCACCCTCAGAGGGTTTTATAAGGGTTAGAGGTTCTTTACCATCAGGATGCTTCATCTTTGCCTGAGCTCTGGTGAGTGCTGCTGTGAATGTTTTCCTTTGGATTTTATTGATGTCCTCTTTTGCATTTGCCGCAACCTCCTTGGCTGACTTCTTTGGCCACTCCTCCACTGGCATTTTCAGAACGGAAGGTCCTTTCTGCCACTCAGATTCCTCCTTGACATCAGCAGGGGTCGCTCCTCTTGTTATGATGTCAGAAATGTTTAGGTCACCTGGAATCCACCACCAATCCTCAACAGATCCAGACTTTTGGATTTCACCTACTCTGTTGGCAAAGAATGTCTGATATCCATAACTGTCACGCTGGATTGCTCCCAACACAGTTTGACTGTCCAGGAGGTGGAACCATTGTCCTATTTCCATTTGACCGTGCTTTTCAATATGCCTTCTTAGACGAGCTGCAAAAACGGCACCACAGATCTCTGCCTTTACAGGGTCACCTTTTTGGTTCAGTGGTGTGAGTTTTGCCTTGGATTCAGTCTGATTTGGATACCTTCATCCGTCTCCCACCTGAGATACACCACAGCTCCAAAGCTTTTGTCACTTCCATCGGAGAATGTTATTCCCAAAGGTTTACCGATCCAGCTGGGTGGCGTCAAGCTTCTGTCGAAGGTGATTTGACTCAGTTGCACATACTCTTCAAATACTTGTATCGCTTCCTCCCTTAGGCCTGCTGACAGTGGATTATCCCAAGTTTCTCGGGTCGATGTTCCGCTTCCTGCCTCTTGGAACGCTTTTCTGACGAGTATGGCTCCCTTCTGTTTCAACGGTGTGACAAGACAGATGGGATCATAGAGGCCTGCTACTTGACTTAATAGCTCTCTTCTGGTTAAAGGGTCAGGAGTCTTTCCTCTTACCTCTTCTTCAAGGAGGTCTTGGCCTACTCTCATTCTCCTCTTTTTCCTTGAGAAGTTAATGGAGGTAAGCACATATAGTTTGTCCTCCTCCATGAGGTAGCCAACCCCCAGGGCCTTATTGTCCTCTTCCTTCATTTGAGTTGGAAGTATCAATCCTCTGTCTTCTCCTGCAGATGTCACTTGGTTGGGGTTCTCCTGCACCTGCATCCCACTTTGCCCTAAGTGGACCCAAGGTTTAAGAAAGAATCCTCCAGCTTTCAGGATTTCCTCAACCCCATTAGTGCACTCTAACCTTTTTTGGTCATTGTGGGATGTCAGGATGTCATCCACGTATCAATCTTCCTCCAGGACTCTTCTTTCCTCTTCGAGGTGTGTAAACATTGGTAGCCTTGATGTTTCTCGCATTGCCAGCTGTGCTATGCATCCTGCAGGTCGATCACCAATGTTGACTCTTGTTATTGCGTATTCACTTATTTCTTCGTCCTGAGTGTCTCTCCATAAGAATCTGTGAAGATGCATTTCCAGGTCTTCCAGCCACACATAATTATACATCTTCCTGATGTCTCCCAAAGCTGCATGCACTCCTCTTCTGAATCGGAGTATAACTCCTCGGATTGGATTCAATACATCAGGCCCCTTCAGTAGAAGATCGTTCATAGTGAACCCTTTGAACTGTTGGCTGCTGTTCCACACAAGGCGTACCAGTGTTGTCACAGAGTGAGGATTTGGTGCCACCAAGTGGCTCACATACCATACTGGTCCTGTCCAGCTGTCCTTTATCTCTTTAGTGAGTTTCTTTGCTGCTCCTCTTTCCACCATTTCATGTACCTGTGCCTTGTAGGCAGCTTGCCAATCTGGCTCCCTCTTGAGTTGTTTTTCTGTCCTCAGAAAAGTTGCTTCTACTGCAGTCCTGTTGTTGGGAAGAGAGATTGGGTCCTCGATCCAAGGGTACTTTGTATCCCAGTGTGGAACACTACTGTGGGCATCAGC